ATGTCGAGTCGATTCTTCTTCACAACAAAGTGAAAATAACGGTGTTATTACAACTCCAAAACGTTCTTCTGATGATGAACCAGATTGTGCTAAAAAAAGAAAGGTTGCAGAGGTAGATTATCCATCGACACAGCCGATAAAATTCGTGTACGAACTAGATGTTCCACAGATTGCAAGCCAAATCAGTTCTCCTGTTTATCATGCTGCAATTGCTTCACCTATTTCAAATTCTGAGTTGAGCTCACTCAAATCCATTCCAGATCCAGACTTGTCAGTATTATCATCAAACCTAAACAAACCGAGCTGCTCAAAAGATTCATCTCAAAATCGCTTGACAACAGAGATTGAGAAAATACCGGATAAAAATGAAAGCACTGAACGTGAATTGTTGGCATTTCTTAAATCAAGACCCGAATATTTGCTTGAACTGATTCAAAAAGATGAGGCAATGAAGAAGATGGTGCAAAGTGGCAAGGAATCATCAGATCTCAAACCTGATGAAACTAAATAGTCAAGCAATTGGTTGTTAAAACGGGTCAGAAGTCATTTATTCCCCCTTTATTTACCTTTATTTTTGTTCAAATTTTTCTTTTTTTGCAATTATTTTAGTCTCTCGAGACTTTCAAGTTTAATTACCTTGATATTTATTCTTCTCGATTTCTATTGGCTCTGGTGAGCAAAATCGAGTCAATTTAAAGCTGAGGCATCTCAATTTATTTATTACAATTTATTTTACTGTCGTTTCATCAACTCTCATTGGTAAAGATTCTCTTCGACATTTAAAAATCATCAATTATTTTTCGACAATGCAACGTGGTAATAAGGAACATGTGAAAGATTCAATTCATCTCAAGAAGATCAATAAACAGTACAAGTGTCCAGTTGTTAATGCTCCTATAAAAGTTTACACGAAGTCCAAATCTAGTGCCGATAAAGAAAAGTCCTCAACATCTCATGTAAATAATTCCTCATGTGTGACACCAGCGAAGAGAAGAAAAGATGATCAAAAATCTAGTGTTTATTCAGATTCATCTACATCAACAGAAACTTCGATAGTCGACAAAACTTTTCTTCTGGTTATTCTGCCTTTTATTGTTGACTCCGTTGAGAAAAAACCTCTAAATCAACCTGTTCTAGTGAAAGTTAAGCAAAGTGATTTTTCATCATTTGATAAGGACTGTGATTTCATTTCTGATCCTGATATGAATCTTTTTTATACATGGCTAAACAAAAAACGTGTAACTTTCAAAGTGATCGCCATAGGAGGTAAATTATGAGGTTTACGAAATATTTTTTTTCTACAATTTGTTCTTCTTTTCAATCCTTAGATTCATTCAAAACCTTACAAAAAAATCTTCGAGAGAACATTAAAAAAAACTCACATTGGTCAAACTTGAAAGAAGTCATATCTTTTCATGAGTTTCCGATTGAAATCAATCATGACCCTTCAGCTCTGATGCAAGAAGATATCGAGTTTATTGAGATGGAGCTGAATGAAGTGCATAGTTTCTTTTCACGTGAGCAAATGAAGGATTCTACAACTTCAACGATGCCTGAAACTCAAAATTATCCAGTTGAAATTTATGACTCGTTGAAGAGCACACTAAATAGCGACGAAAGTGATGATGAGGACGAAGATTGTTCAGTAGAATGTGATCCAGAGAATACTTCTACCAATGTTTCTAAAATTGAAGCGACAAAATTTACAATTCAAGAAGTTGTTTCTGATGAAAATGATTCATTTCAGTTTAAAAAAGTGACAAGTTATCAAAAAAGAAAAGAAAAGGTTCTCAAAATTCGCGAAAAGTTAACTGAAACCACCCGAAAGCAGAAACTCATGTCTGACATGAATCTTAATGATATTTTGATTTCGTCCCTTATTGATATCACATCAGACATATTTTCTCTCATTGATATTGATGAGGAAAACTCGAAAGCAAAAGATCATTTAGTTGACCAAGTTGACAAAACATACAAAAAAACAACAGAGGTAAAGATTCTTCCCTCATTTTCTTCCCTTCCATATTAATCACAATCATTTACTTCTTTTTTTGCAGAATAAGATTTTTCTTGAAGGTATTTTTTGTTTGCCGCTCGATGGATACACGAAAGCGATGAAAGAAGCGCGCTTAAATGATTATTGCTCTGTTGCATATCAGTTTGTTGTTGCTGCATTTCCACCATGTTATATTGAAAACGTTACGCTTGGGAAAAAAAGCTATAGACTAGAAGAATTGGAAAAGTGTTGCTTGAAAGCTTTGAATTCAGAAAAGAAAGAAAAAATTCCTTTTCCATGTGTATTAGGATTTCCTGATCCACTTGAAAAGCCTTTCAAAGGATCATTCGATCCTAAATTAGGTTTAAAGCGCCTAAATGCATTGATAGGTGAGTTTTGATGTCAATGATATGATTCAATTAATACAAAACATTACAAATAGCTAATCTTTTCTTAGATCATATTTTCAGAGTTTCTGGATACGAAAGTTATACAGATGAATTCATGAACAAAGTTCGCTCACGTATAATCCGAGCCCTATTTTCAAAGAACAAGGAATTGAATCAAACTCGCAAGAAAGAATCAGATGAAAAGACTCGCAATGATGACGAAAAAAGCTCTCAAAAAGATTCAAATCTAAGTCAGGAAGAAGATTCTTTAGTTGATTTTCCAATATTGCAAAGCCAAGTTTTCAAGAATCATGCCTCTCATATACGGTGAAGGATATATTATATTCATTTCTATCAATTGATTTGAATTTATTCAAATATTTTTTTTTACTTTTTTGGTGGACAATATTCAATTTTTTTGTATAAATTTAGTTTACTCATTTCCAATACTGCCCGTGTAATGACTCATATCCAATTGCTTCACGTATGAATATTAGATAAATTTCAATAGAATAAATATTTTTCCAATATATTTACAAAGATTTCCTCTTTGTTTTCATTTCGATACGATTCTAATCATGTGAATCTTTTTATACGAAATGTTTCTTGGTGATAAATATCACTTTTTGTGATTCTCAAGCTTTGCCAAGGCTTGTGGTGAACTTATTCTATTTATTAGAATAAATTTCTCAAAATCTTTAAATTCATTTTGAGTCAATTAACAATCATAAATGAGTAAAAATTGATTCAAAATTGATACAAAGTTTTGACTCTAATTTGAATCATAATTGAACCATTTTTGATTGTATATTGACTCAAAATTGACTCAAAAGCCCTTTGACTCAACTTTGAGTAAAAGTGACTCGTATGTATCAATTTTTGACTCAATTTTGACTCCAACCTGTTGACTGGGTTGTTATTTTGATAATCATGATAAGTCACTTGATTAATTGTTAAATGTGTTAATTATTTAAAATTAATTTAATTGTCAGGTAACAATTAACCTAATCAGCTGTTAGTTTTAATCTGGATTGATTGTTAAAAACTTTGATTTTCTAGTGAATCAAATTTAATCATTTTCTTCACAGTAAATTGTCAAATTTAAAGTTGATAATCATGACTAGAAATGATTTCTAGTCTTGTTTAAATTGTCTCGTTGATTGTTGTGATTTTGATTGTCAGTAATCAAAGATTTTCAATTTATTAATAGCAAATCTAAGTAACTTTAAGCTTTTGACAGTTGAGAATCAGATTTAATATCAAATTAAATCATCACAATCAAAAGCTTATCTTGATTATCATCAAAATGATATGGAATTAATAATTTGACAAACTTAATCAATCTCGATGATTGTTGATTAATGTTGATGATTTAAAATCAAACTATCAACGTTAATTTATTATTATATTGTGTAATTGACTTGGTCCCTTTGATTGTTTAGATTAATTTAATTGATTGGTGATAAAATAAACCATACGAATCATTAATTTAGTTTAACCAATATCAACAATGATTTAATCATAACCATTTATTTCATAACAAATCAAATTGTTACAATCAAGTAACTGTAATAAACACAATTACAACAATTTACTTATCATATTGTATCAACTTTAATTTACTTTCACTTAGTTTACTCAACCAATTTAATCAAAAAATTATTGTTCAACAATAAATTCAGTTTAATTGCCTCGAGATTTTGATAAATTACAGATTAAACTAATCACAAACAATTAACTTTAATCATTAGTTAACTAGATAGAAATTAAAATGATTAATTGTAAGAAACATAATTCTCAGCTTACTTATTAAAAGCAACAATTAATCAAGTAAACAAATTTGTTATGAAAACTTTTCCATCCCAGGAAAATACAATTAAAGTTCAATCAGAAAAGTTTACAATCATTAAATTAAGTTATGATTAGTTGATAACAATTAGATTAACATTAAACTAATTAGAGAGAAAGTTTTCAGATAATCAGATTAATAATAATCATCTGAAGTTAATGTTGTGAAAATTAATCAATCACTGATTGTTGATAGTCAATTGTGTTTGATTGAATTAGGTTAATAGGATGATAAAGTCAATTAACATAAAGCTATTGATTAGATCTGACAACAACTGGACATTGGTCAACCATGTAGTTTCATGTTGAAATATATCATCATTTGTATGATGTAATAATAATAAAATGCCAGCCCCAAGGTGTTACCTGAATACTTAAAACAATGGTCAGTTTGAATGTTTCTGATAACCAATGGTCAGTAAGAGATAAACATTAAGATAAGTGGACATCACAATCATCAACATCTCTCGAGATTATAAATGAAAACTGACCACTGACCATCGATTGACATTTTCTCTCCCTATTAACATGATATTTGTCACAGAAATATGAGATATTGATCCAGATTAGCATAACTTTGATCATCATTCGTAAACATTTTATCGTTGACAGTTGATTATTATTATTATCTGATATCAGAAAATATTACAGTTTGAATTAACTTCCACATAGAGGGCAACAATTAGTTGTTGAATTGTAATGAAAATTTACAGACAATTTGTTAAATTGTTCACTAATTGTAAACATTGTATTTATTTTCTCTCCAGGTAAACCAACAATTGTCCGTTTTCATGTTTGGGTTTTAAGTCTAGATTCAATTGACGAAGGCTCAATGGTAAGTCTTCATTTACAATTCGTTAATGATATTAATCGATGTCACTTGATTATCATAATTAAATGTGAATCTACCTGGTAAATTGTCATGTTTTCTCAGTTGCATTTTACAATTTCGATTTGTAGAGTAGTATTTTAACCATTGTACCAGTTTAAATTGCGATAAGTTCATTTTTGATTGTGATAAGTGCAAACAATTTATCGGTAATTATGATTGAAATGATCAGATATGTTTTCCATGATTTCTGGGAAACTGTTGGCTCTTCAAGCTTGAGTTGGTTTCCAACACTAAAAGGTGGACCCTGGGCGATTCTGTGTATTATTGGTTGTTATTTATACTTTGTGACCACTTTGGGACCTCGATTGATGAAAAATCGTGAACCATTTGAGTTGCGGTCAATACTTTTTATCCACAATATAATAAAGATTATTTTATATTCAACCGGTTTCATATTAGCTTCATGGTGTATTGATGGAGGCTTGAAAGCTATCAAATGTGAACTATTAAATTTCGATGGTGATGATTCTAAAACTCGTACAACTATTATAATAGGACTGGGATATTATCTCCTTAAATATTTTGACCTAATGGACACAGTTTACTTTGTCCTGAAAAAGAAAACCTCTCAAGTGACCCCTGCCCATCTTATCCACCACAGTCTTACACCTTTACTTTGCTACTTTTCTTATAAGTTCTGTCCAAGTCTCCATTTGAGTTTAATTCCAATTATCAATTCTGCCATCCATATTTTAACATCAACTTATCATATAATTTGCACTCTTGACCCCTCGCGGAAACATAAGTACCGTAATTGGGGTCGTTACCTTTTCCATCTTCAAGTGATACAGTTTGTTTTCTTCATCATCATTTTCTTGAACATGGCTTATCTCATGGAAGATTGTCCCTGTAACAATTTACTGGCCAGTTTCTCCATCGGTGTGACTATAATTTTCCTTGTTTCAAGTGTGGTCAGTTGGTTGAAAATGGGTTCGCTCATTTGTGTACCGAACATGCATATTGATTCACAGGAAGAAATTAATAAATCAAAAGTAAATTAAACATCATTCGATACAATTGACGCCTTTATAATCAATTGATAATAATTTTAGCTTTTTGTCGGAAACGGAAATGATGAGCTACCAATAAAAATTACTTTAATAAATAATTACTAAATAATTTAATAATAATCAATTGTTAAGTTAATCACCAATGAGCACAAATACTCAACAAAAAAAAAGATGATGAATCAATATTTAATAATCGGATTATTTATTTGATTGTTATATATATTTTTTTGTCCATATCCATTGAGACTGGACATTTATTACTCATTGTTGATTGATGAGCAATTTTGATCCATCATGAATATCATGAGATGAATATCTCAAATAGGATAATAAAAGTTATCCAAATCCATGTAAATATTTGAATTCTGTTGGTTCATTAGAGTTTATTATCATTACTTTTTTTTTCTTATGACACTTCAATCAACTTAATAATCAAAGACAATCAGCTGATTCAGCTCAAGATGAATTTATAAGAAAAAAGTTGCAATAAAATTGGAACTGAAATTATTGATTATTGTTCAATGTTGATGATTAGTCTTATTTATCAATACATTGTATCCATTAGACTCTTGAGCGTGTTGTTTCATGGTAATTTCATGAGTTCTGTTCAGTTCTGGAGGCTCAGCTATTCAGGAACTTATGAATATGATGAGGGTGGTGAACATGAGAGAGTGGAAAATATTATGCATCAATGTTTTAACTTGAATATCATGTAATTAGATTGGATTTTTTTTTCTCTCACCATGAAAAATATGATTGATGATTTATGAGGCATCTCTTTCATCTTTATCAAGTTTTCTCATTTAAATATTTCTGTTGATTTTGAGCATCATGATGAAGATGAAGATGAAGATGATGATGATGATGATGATGTTATTCTTGATGGTGATGGAGATGATGATTGAATTTGCAAATGAAAGAGTTGAGGTTTGAAAAGATGATGATAATTTTACCTTCAAGCTGAATTCATCTTTATGATTATGAAAAATTTTTACTTTTCATCATTCATTTTATACAATCATGATACTTCAACATTTCATTTCATAATGAATTATAATAATCCATAAGATTATCATGGAGTAGTTTTCACCATGATAAATGTGATGAAAGTGGTAAATAGTTGAAGGATGAGGATGAAATTTCCTCTTGTCGTTGTTTCATCAATCCAACCGAAAAGCTTATCTAGTGATCATTTAATTCATAGAAATTAAATTTCTTTCATCTTCTCTAATTATAATAGTAGATAATCAGTTCACCAGAATGATTAGCTTATCATGCTAATCTACAGTCATGATAAGATGATGATTAATAAGCTTAACACTGGGATTATCGGAGATGATTATTTAACCATCATCATGAGGAAATTTGTTTAGCTTTCATCATGTAGATATTTGCTACTAAGAAGCTTCCAGAATTTTTAATTTACTCGAAAATTATCTCAATTGTTTTCATTTTTACGAGTTAAATTTGCTCGAAATTCAATTAATTAATTCAATTCCCATACCATTGAGCCAGAAAATAAGAGCAACTAGAAATATAAATAATCGAGTGAAGAAAAGTTTTTTTTTTCAATAAGTTCAGAAAGTCAACACATTTAATGTTGATGTTCAGACTCAGGTGAGAACTCAGATTTTTACCTGTCATTGTAATAAACTAGATAAAAGTGCAGAATGATGTTTTCCTGTGGAAAACAATGAATCATATCATTAGAGGTAAAACGAAATTCAGGATAATATATGATAATGAATCAGGGTGAAGATGAGGAGGATTGATAAACAAAAAGTAAACACACCAAGACAACTTTTGATTCATCATTTTTGATAGTTAACTTGGCAATTTGATTCAGTTTCATTCAATTTCTGGTGTGTTTTTTTTTCATCTGTAAATCTCATGGTGAAGTTTTCAACATTCATGTGTCTTAATTGTTACTAATTAAACGACATTGACAACAAAGAGGCAACTGTAATTCGAGTTGGTAAAATGTTCAAATATATTTTTACACCTTACGAATTGATTGGTGAGCTTTAAATGCAACTTTCGTTTGATACTTGAATTGATTTACCGTTTGTGATGATTATTGTAAAAATCAGATTTACTCACATACGAATCAAATTAAAGTATTACATGAGCAAGAGATTCTTAATCATGATTGAAGAGTTGAATCAACAATTAGTTTTTACTGATGATTTCATGATGATTTCATTATGATTCTGCTCTGTAATCTATTATTAGTTATCCTTAACCATGATGGTAAATATTGACATTGATATCCTAAGATGATTTCTATTGTTTCTGATTAAAACTGGATAAGGGTTTTTTTCATGACGATCATTCAAAGCCTCCTGAGATTAAGACGATATTAATAATCTGAAAACTCAATAATAACCAACAATGAAATGTATATTACACAAAAGATTCAAAAGTGAATGAGAGTCTGAACAAATATTATTAATTCAGTCCTTTTGTTGCAAATGGAACGAAACAAATTCATAAAATCATTAAGCTTTGTTTTTCTTCATGACGATTTCCATGGTCAGATAAATCGTTGTTTCAACGAGTCACAAATAGACATTATCATTGAATGTTATTTTTGCCTTTCGAACGAGTATTCAATCAATTGACCTACTAATCTGTAGGGAAAAAGCCTTGGGACTTAGTCTCTCTCTCTCTCTCTCTCTCTCTCTCTCTCTCTATTCTCTTGATATAATTTATCGAAAAACTCGAGAAAATCGTACAGAAGCTTCACCGATCTGTTAAACATTATTTAATTACGAAATTCTGATAAATCGAACGATTCTGGTCTTCCATTGAGGATTGATAATGAGTTTGATTTAGAATTCTGGATTTTGAAGTTATCGTCCTTTGATTGGAACTTATCTATTTAGATTTTCAGAGTGAAATGTTCCGATGACATTGAGTTGACGTTTGAATACCGATGAATTTAAAACGTTACCTTTAACTCGTTAAAATGATTTGGTTCGATAACGAATATTGATCAACGAAATTATTTTATTTCAGTTTAAAGTTTTACATTCAGAAAATTATATTATCAATTTCAACATTTCAGTATTTTATTTCAGAAAAATTGAACAATAATCGTTGATTTAAACTTTAAAATATTTTAAAGTCGAGCGAGAATAAATTATTATTATCCTGTGCTTTTTTCCGTTCACTGGATGAGTGAGAATATGATTTAGCTTGTGAATAGGCTAAAGAAGCTCCTAACATATAAACCAGAACGATAACAACTTGAATAATCTTGAAGTTCATGATGATAATATCGAGATGATCGATGTTACTTTAACACAAATGAAGTTCACTTTGATAATTGATTTTGACGGAAATCTGAACAATTTAAAACTCACTTTAATTCAGTTTATCAGTAACTTATCCTTTTTATACAACTATTGGAATGAAAAAAACTACGACTGAATAAAAATTGATCACCAATTTACACTTCTATCATTTAAAGTTAATTAACATGATGATCTGAATCATTTGATCTCATCTGAATAAATAGTTGAATAAATTGAATGATTTGCACTTTAATTCTAATAAGTGATTAGATGATATTCTTTCCTTGATAATAGATAAATAGATGATCAATTTGATCAGCCATTAAAAAAGTTCATTAGCAATTCAGAGATAAAACTCACATGAGATAAAAGTAAAAAAGGAAAGAGACTCAATGAAACTCCAAATTCATGGAAATCAACTGATTATATTAATTCATTTTCTCATTGTTCTTTGTATTATAAATATTTGGGTGTTTCCAGTTAATACTAATAAAATGACAGAGTTTTATAAAGTTCATTGGAATCCTCTTCCATCATGTTAGGCCTCATTAAGAAAATACAATAACGTTGAAAGAACTCGGGAACTTGAGTGAAAATATTTCTATTGAGAACATGAAAACTATACCAAAATGAGAATTAAGAATCGTCGACAAATAAGAAACGAGAAATATTTTCACTTTTATTAATATAAATGAAATATAAGGAAAGAAAATTTCTGAAAATGTTTCAATTTTACAAATGAATACATTTACATTGAAACAAGAAACATATTCTCTGAAAAAAAAGGTTAAGACTCACCTTTAACTGTCTCATACTCAACTCATTGATTAAGATGATGTTCATTGATTGATCTTCAAAATGATTAACTTTTTATTCCGATTGACATTGATCAATTAAATCACTTCCTTTTGATTCTATGAATTTGATTGTTGAATGCGTGAGAGTTTGAAGGATATGTTGACATCATATCATCAAAATAACATCGAATAAGTCAAAAAATAATAAGTCAATAAGTCAGTTCATTTGGAACACAGGAACTGAATCAACTATGAATTTGGTTATCGCTATATGGATGACCTTGAACATTTTCAAGGACAGAATTTTCTTAAAATCGAATATATAACTCTTTAGATGACGAAGATGTTAATGATGCTGTCAAAATACAATTTCTAACGAAAATGAGTTGAATATTAACGATTAGTACTTACTTTTAATCCAGGTAGAAGTGTTTAAGTAAGGTCGAGGTTAATTAGGTCAAAAAAATTATTAATTAATCAATTCAGTAATTATTACTTCCAAAAGAAAATGAGTGTTTCAAATGATTTAATGGAGACAATTTACTTAAATATATCAATAATATTAATCTTAAGTCTTTTTTTCAGCTCAAATTAGATAAATTTAGCTTGATCCATGATAGATTCAGTTTTTATACCTTTAATTTGGCTTAGGTCTAGGGTCAAATTATTACAAAAGGGTTAATTGTTATGACAAACTGTTTCAATTGGGTTATATGGAAAATTGTTTTTGGCCATTCAGGTCAAAAATGAGAATAAACTTTTGAATTGATTAGGTGTAACAATTTGATACAATCAGAATATTTAAATTCTTGGATCAATTTATCAAATGTCATCAAATAAATTTATTTAATGTCATTGAAATCAAATAGGATTCCAAGTCTCAGGATTTGTGTAGATAAATAGCTCACATTTGAACAATGAATTTACTTTAAAAAATTGGCTCATGAATTTCATGATAAATGAATATATTTTTTTCTCATCCCATAAACTGATTCTCAGTGAAATAAAGTCAAGAATTGTTTAGATTTAAATGATAACTTTCAATTTTCTCATTTCATCTTCTTCTTGCCATGTTACTGTCAATAGGATTTTCCCATCCAACTGATTGTCAATCCATTAAGTGAATGAATGAAATTGTGCTCATATTTTTAAAACTTTAATTCCAATAATCAACTGCGAGAAAAATTAATTGTAATTACAATTAATGAATTATTCAAATGAATGAATTCATAATAAGTTACAAAGAGCAAGATTCTGCTGACTATTGTAATTATTATGATATTTTGAATATTATGATTTATTTAAATTGTCATTTTATTCTGACACCAATTTCATTGAAATACAATTGAAAAGTTTTCGAAACAATTTTAATCAGTTAATTGTTGTTGAAATAGTTTCCAATTATGACTACCTTTAGTTTGACGTTAATCGGATTTGTCTGGTCTGAAAAAAATGAATTGAATTAATTAGCTAATTACTAAATTACTATTTTCTCGTTTAAGTTTATCAATGAATCCATTTAGTATATTTGAACTAATTGAAAATAATTATTCATAAAAGTCAATTAATATTCATCAGAGTCAATAAGTTAACCTTCATATGGAATCAAATACAAATAGTATTTACCTTAAGTTCAATATTTCACAAAAGTGATTTAGATTCATGATTAATCATCTCATCACCAAGATCTCATCTCGATATATATTATTCATGGTGAAGAGTATTTATCATTAATGTAATCTATCAAAAAAAGTACATGGAAACAGAAAAGTGATCAAGTTTAATCACCGAGTACATGGTTAATCAATTTCAGATTAATTCCAAACATTTGAATTCTAAATCAAACTAAATCTAATTTCTTTCCATCATGAAATTGTAAGAGTTGAATTCTGTGAACAAAAAGTTCTGGTGGTCGATTTAGAAACGAACCAAGTGGTTCAAGTGTTTCATGTACCATGTTAATCGTGAAACTTTGAATAATGAACTCATTTATATTGGTCAGTCATCTTTCATGTGTATCTTTCAAATGGTCAATTGAAATGATTATGTAAACAACACAATCAACAATATTCAACTTATCCAATTGTTGTTATTGACCTTTTAGATTGAGAGGATGAAAATTTCAAGATAATCAGTAAATTATCTTACTCATCACATGGCTACCATTGGTTAGTCTCATCATGAAATTTATCCTCATCTTTATCATCAATTTTTGCACCATCAGTTTACCCTGAAGATAATTCAATCCTCATGAGATCAATTATATATAAACTCATTCCAAATATACAATAGGAAAGAAACTATTTGTATCTATTAATATCATTACACCACCAGAATCCATGATGATTCAACAATCAAACTTGTAGATTCTGAATGGTAAAGTAAACCTAAATTTCCCATCACAAGTTTTTCAGCAATCAAACAACATCTATGGCTGACCGTCAACTTTTAACTGATTATATTGGTCAATGGACACAAAGTTTACTTGATTTTCACCATGAATGAAAAAAAAAGTTCAATGATGATGATGAGATCAAATTATTCACGGATAAAGTTTACGAAAGTTAGTTAAGTTAAACTAACGGTTCAGTGAATCGACAATATGTTCAAATTATAAATAGATGAAAGTTAATTGTTTTCGTGTAGAAATTGTTAACTTAGTGACACTGATTAACTTACAGATTTGCATGATTATCACCCTGATAATGAATTCTGAGCTCTCAGTTTAAAATTAATTGTATTTCTCTCTCATTTATATTTAGACCTATGTTGCAGATATTTTCATCTCCCAAAGTTGGAAAGATCATCGACTCAAAATACCTGATGAATTAACCAATACCTCATCTAATTATCGGCTATTACCATTGAAATGGCTTGATTATATGTGGCGTCCAGATAGTTTCTTCAAGAATGCTAAACAGGTCAAGTTCCAAGAGATGACCATTCCTAATCACTATATTTGGCTATATTCTGATAAACGGATTCTCTATATGGTCAAGTAAGTCCCAAGAGAAACTAACGCATATAACATTCAATGGTCATTTCTATCTCTCTAAATTCAAGAAAAACCTTCAATTTGGTCCAAAAGTAAACAACCAAACCTAAGAAATGACCATATAGTTCATATACACATGAAAACAATCAGAATCAGATTCTGGTTTTCTTTTAATCTTTATCCTTTATCAGTCAAATGCTGATCGAGTATTGAAAACCATTATCTTCAAGATTATCTGATCTGTTTGAGATAAAGTTCAACCATGATAAGAAATACTAATCAGACAGTTAGAATCAAAGAAATGCAAATTTCAAAGCAGCAGCAAAATTCCGGTGACATACTTTATCACCGGAATTACAGTTAACCTGAAAAGAAGATGAAAAAAAAACTCACTGATACAACATGATTAATTCATGTTCTTCCGGGTTCCCTTTTGTACATAAAGGTGATCGTCTAATTCATCAAGTGTATTATAAAGGATGATGAAGGTAAAGATGATGAAAAGCTATTCACCTGCCGAACAAGGTGAAATATTATCAATGTTAAGTGATAGTAAATTTTAACATTTTGAGCTTTTACATGGTTTTCCTTTCAATCGTTAGAAGATGATACTTACCATCAATGGATGATGATGATGAAAATGATGATAAACCATAATCACCACTCGCTTCTTACTTACCTTTCTAATTTCTCTTTCATCTTTTATATTTCAAGTCAATTGATTTCCAAGTAATAATAATCCAACATTTACCGTTATCTTTTAATGAAAGGTAAAAACTTGAACGAAAAACTAACAAACTGATAATATCAAACTCTATAGAGGTAATTTATCTGATAACTATTACCCACCGTGGTGAAGGTGGGTAGACATTACCTGTAAAATATTATCTCTCTAAATTGTTAATCATTAACTTGGGGCTTTTATTTCATCTCTCCAATCATAATCATCACAATCTTGGCGATTACCTTTTCTTTTCACTGGATCCAAATTGTTTTTCATTGCTATGGTTAAATTACAATTCTAATTGATAATTATCCCTCTTATGTAATATATTATCTTTATTACTTTTTCTATTGCGATATCAATTTAAATGCTAATAATCTGATCTGAATTAATCATGTCGATTTCAATTACAGTTGAATGTTACAATTTATTTTCTCAATTGAATTTTGTTAAATATTTTCGAGTCTAATTTTCACTCACCGAAAATAATAGTTAATTTTATATTCTCAATCATCATTTTCGTTGAACAATTAAACTCGGATCACTCTCGAAATTTTATTAAATTTAATTAGATTATTTTTGGAAAAATGTTTCATATTTTATTTAGGTTAATTAGCTGATTGCTCAGTTGTTATTGATTAATTTGCATGTCAACCAAATTCGTTAGCTAAATATGATCACAACCAGGTTGGTAAGAGATCTACAGGGTAGTTCACCAGGATTCGAAAAAGTTTTTCTCAATAACCTCAATGACCTTGACCTTAAAGATTAGAAAAAACAAAGAAGATAAATTGTCCTTTGAATTTTGTACTTTAGCATTTCACTGATATAATAATAATGAATTAAGATGCTAATTAACATCAGTTGATTCAGTTAATGAACTTTATTGTGTTTGTATTGCATTAAAAGTTAATTGTAACGTGAAAATGTGATGATTTTGTTGTTCCAATTAGCAAGAGGATGATAATGATCATTATGATCAACTTAATCACTATTAATTGTGAGATAAACATTAGTTCAATTAAAGACAATGACAGTAGCTTTGATTATTTAACACCATTTACGATAATCATCTTGATCCAGAAAGTTTACATATAATTAATTTCAAATTAATTTCCATGTAAAAGGTTAACTAGGATTTACTTTTTGATTTAAATTCCAACAGAGTTTAAACAAAAAGTTCAATGATTCATGGTGATTTTGAACCTTGTGGAATTTCAATTCAAAATTCCAAACTCACCCAAACTTGGAGTAAAGTTCAGGTCAAATGAGGAGAAATGAAGTTATCCAAATAAAGTTGACCAGAAAATTTGAGATGATTTTTATTAATATTACCTTTTCGAGATAACCTAATGTCAATCTACCATCAGAATTATCACCATGATGTTTGGTGTAAAAATCAGAGCCTGTTAGTTGATATATTGTTACTTTTATTATGCTTTTACCAATTACCTTACAGAAATGAGTTAATAATATACAGGGCATTTCACCAAGTTTCCAACAAGTTTTTCGCGAATAACTTTTTTGTCTTTGGGTATTTAGGCTCCATACTCGAGTTATGGGAGTTTGAGCGATACTCAATTGTCATATTTCAAGGTCAAGGTCATAAAGGTTATTCATGAAAGAAGGCACTTGAAGGTCATTTGAAGAACTTTTTGAAAACTAGAAATTTTTTAAAGCCTACCTGTGATGTTTTATTATTCCTTTACTTACAGGGTCTGATTCAATTTGCTTTCAGTAAAAATTTATCTTAAGTAACTGATTTTGTTTTTGCGCGATACCAACGTTGTTTAGTGTTATTACTATTTTTTTACTTCATGACTAGGCGTTAAAAAATTTCTAGTTTTCAAAAAGTTCTTCAAATGACCTTCAAGTGCCTTCTTTCATGAATAACCTTTATGACCTTGACCTTGAAATATGACAATTGAGTATCGCTCAAACTCCCATAACTCGAGTCTGGAGCCTAAATACCCAAAGACAAAAAAGTTATTCGCGAAAAACTTGTTGGAAACTTGGTGAAATGCCCTGTACATGATAACACTTGGTGAAAATGCTCAAGTTATTACATGAATACATGCATGTATACAATAATGCCTCAAGTGGTAATTGCATTGACTATGAGAGAGATGGTGAAACAATTTTGACCCAAAATTTGACCAGTTATTAGTTCAATAGAATCTCAATCATATTGATATATATTCATATTATACTCAATTCAGTTAGTAGTAAATGAAAGGTATTGAATTCATGGTAGACTAAATCAGAATTCAGATAAGTGTATTGGTAATTTTCATGGAAATAAATTTATTTTTTATCTTCAATCCTCAATTTATTTCATTTTTATTTTTTCATCAGATTCATTCACTTGTTCTGGTTTAATTGATTTTCAGTTTATCTCCCCATGAACATGAACTGAATATTAGTGTGAAATATTTTTTAAATGTCTTTCTGTTTGGACAAATCAACAGTCAATCGTGAATGAGATTGAATCCACTGGGAGGAGGTGATTGGTCAGTGAATTTCCTATCAAGATGATGTTAAACTGAAAGTAACATTATGAATGAAAATCTCAGCTTATTATTAATGAATCAAACTCGTAATCAAAGTTAATTGTTATCAAAACTTTAACATGGATAAATGAGATGATCAGTATCAATTGCTTTTGAATAAACTCATCAAAATGTTGTAATTTGTTTCCGTTGATAAAATTGTCTAGGAAATAGATATTCAATTTTCCAGTAAATGGTCAGCAAAAACCAGGAAAAAAAAAATGCTTGACCATAATTATTACTTAGCAAACTAATGAATTAATTAATGATGATACTGTTAATTTAACCATTTCCTTTACTTTTACATGTCCATCCATCCTCATCCTTTAACAAATCCCTTTTGTTAACAACTTGTGAAAAGTGTTAATGGTCAGTTTGCTGACCGATAAAAGGCCCATTTGTTTGATAACAGTAAAAGGATGTTATCAATTTCATTTGATCCTTTCCGACCTTCTATTCATCCCTCATCTTTGATTATCATCATGATCATGATCATCAACCTTAATCCTTTACCATCGTTAGTATCATTTTATTCATCACTCTTATCATGTTATCAGGAAAATTATTATTATCACCATGATGATGATAATAATCATGTTGATGAAAATGAATTTAGATGACAATGGCAAATGTTAATGACTATGAAGATGATGATAAAGATGAAGATGAAGATGAGAGATAAAAAAAAGTCGAGTAACAAAACCGGAAACTGAAACTTTGAAAAACAAAATGATTTATTTCCCATAAGAGGAAAACGATTCTGTCCTTCCATGGCAATAGTTCAAGGATGATAAGATGATGATTATGATGATAATGATGTAGGCGTTTATCAATACGTGATGATGATATAATATATGGTAAAGTAAGAGAGATGAATAATGAAGATGAAGGATGATAAAAACTCTTTTGCTACTCCAACAGTTGAAACGATTGTTTTTATCATGGTTGTTTCAGCATCCATGATGTTTTCATTAATCATCTTCATCATATATTACAATTTGTATCCTAAAGGTTATCCATTAAAATGAAACGATTCTGGTTCTCAGGGTGAATCTGGTCATTTTATTATTATTGTTTATATGAATGGTCAACTGAATATCAAATAACAAATAACCACCGAGAGAGGATGATAATTTATCATCATGAGTAAAGTTCATGATCATATTGCAGGTTTAGTTTTTGAATCTGAAATTTTTGCCCTTTCATCCATTATTTCAGGATGATGGCTGAATAATAATGATAAGATTATAAAACTAATACTCAACAACGAAGCAACAACAAGTCAATTATCATTATTTGTTTTTATTCATCAATTTTAAGTCACAATTTTTCAACATTAGGATTGACAATTGTGTGTGTCATCTTTGGACATTGGTCAGTTAGGTGTGTGTGTAGATTTGTGGTGGTTTGTGATGGTAGAAAAACTTTAATCAAATCAAGAGGAACAAATGTGAATAAATGGGTATTAGAACTTTTTTTTGTTCGTTTTTTTTTCAAAATCGACAAAGAAAATGAAACAAAATTTTATATTCTGATTTTCTGATGGATTATTTGAGATTTAGGTTTATTATTTAGTAGATTAACTGATTTCTAAACATAATTGTAATTATTGTTAGTCTGTAAAAATCAGAACTGGTCACTTATATAAATCAATGGTCAAGGTTATATTGCAATACTTATTATTTTTTACGATCATGATGATTCACATTCAATGAAAAAGATATACAGGG